ATTATATTAATATATTATTAATATAATATAATATAATATAATTATATTATTATTAATATATATTAATATATATTATATATTATATAATAATATATTAGGTGGAGTCATAAATAACTTCCGTTTTTATGAGACAAAGAATGGTGATTCTGCCACTAATAAGTGCAGGACACTTTTCATGGAGTTTTTTTTGTACTCTTTGTATCTGTTGGACGTGTATCTATTGAATTTTGCTCCAATATTACTTTTAAAAGGTTCGTCAAAGTTGGAAAAACGTTCTGCACTCGGTTCGTCTTTTAAGGTCGTATCTCTAGAACGGAATTTTACAAACCAATTTAGTTATATCAAGAATTCGTTTGTTTCGGTTACTTATAGTAGATAAATACGAAAAATAGATTCTACATAGACGCATCGGAAGTTACTTATGACTCGTCCTAATATATAATAATATATATAATAATATACATATTATATTATATATGTATATATAACATATAAATTAAATATAAATTATAAATATATTAATGTTCATATAAGTAACTATTTAATATATATACTACATTAAACAAAATATATACTAAAAAATATATTATATACATATATAGGTTGATAGATAGATGGATAGATAGATATAATGTTTAATCAAATCTATTTAAAGAATAATTATTTAATTAATAACTTTTAGATCGTACCAACACTCATTTGCCGGTTACCACTCCTAACTTGATCAACTAGTTCCCTATAAACCGAATCTAAAGGATGTTCCCATGTTGTTGTACTGGTGGATGCTTGATAATAATACCAAGCACCACTTGCCTCGTGATAACAAGGTATCCATCCCTTTGGAAGGGCAGCCATCAGTCCTTCGCGTGCCAATGGAAGTAAATGTGCTTCGGCATCTGGATCGATTCCGAGTCTTTTCGCATAATCCAGTACCTCTGAAAAATATTACAAATTATAGACATTAATATTTAATCGAACTTTTATTATTAATAATATGTCGACTGTTGATCGAAGTTACATATTTTTACATCGAGTCTAATGTCGAGCTACACTCGACAGGTTACAAAAAAAAATAACAATTAAAAAATTTTAAATATTAATTCGTATAAAAATAAAACAATATTTCAAAATAAAAAGAAAAACATGTTTTAACGTATAAACAAAAAATATCATAATTACACCTCTTCCCCCAATAAACACATACACACATACATACATACACATATTCAAGGATGTTATTAAATAATAGACAATAGATCTAAAAATAATATGAAAATATTCTAGCCCCATGTAATATATAAAACGTAATTCATCCATACTATCGATAATCGCTAATGTTAAAATGGTTCATTCTCAAAATAAGCACCCGTTAGAGCCTGTTGCATGAGAACATCTAACACACACACACACACATACTTGGATAGAACGAAAATAAGATATTGCAAAGTTTGCAAAATTTTTGCTTCAATTTGTGAGCTTAAAGTCTAGCCTAAAAAAGAAAAAGAAGAAAAAAAGATCTAATCCGATATTAAAGGTTGCCGTTAAGATGAAAAGAATGAGGAAGAAGGGGGGTGGAATGGTACAGGGTTGACATGGTTGAAAGAGGGTTGAAGGGGGGGGGCTAAGAATAAGAGGAGGGTAGGATTAACCAAGCATGAGAGCTTAAAAATTCCATCAAGGAACTTCTTCTTTGACAGGTGACCCTCTAGGGTATACCTTCGAGGTACCATCTGTTCATACGTACCACATACAAACACATGTACATATACACGTAAACATGTTCAAAGAACAGAGAAAAAGGTTCGGCAATTCTCGGCGTTAGTCGTGAATAATGAGGTGGATAGGTGGGTGGTAGATGTGAATAGAAGTGGGGGTATAGTTGGTTTAAAAAAAATATGAGCGAAACCAGACAATGTTTATAGACTTTAGTAGTGTTTAAACATTACATGTATAATGATGATAACAATTTTGATAATAAAATAGGATATTTTTAATATGATGCATAATGCAATTCATTTTCTCATTTGTCAGAGAGATGAATTTAATGATTTAAAAATATAGTGTATATATATATATCTATTAAAGTGAATCAAAAGTTCGTGCTTTTTTTTTTATTAATATTTCACTTGTATATAAAATAATTTTATTACTTTACAAAAAAGAAATAAGATTGCGCGCTATCTGAAACAATACAATAAACGCACAAACTTCTAGGGTTCAACCTAATATATATATATATTATAAAATATAATATATATATTATATTTTATTAAATACTTAATTAATATAATATATATTACATAATTTTTTTATTTAATATATATAATATTTTTATAATATAAATTATAATAAATAAATAATAATATATATATATACGAACTTCTGGGGTTCAACCTAATATATATATATATATATATATATATTATATATTATATATATATATACACATAGATTTTTGTATAGTTTTTGTAGTTATATGAATAGATCGCGAATTATATAGACAAATATGTGTATATGTGTATGTGTGTGTGTTAGATATAGATAGATAAATAGGTAGTAGGAGTGAGATAGAGATAGGCACGACAAAACTTTCGCCGCAGTGCGGAAGCTATTGATTTTCCAGGTTCGCGTTGGGGAACGAGTTCGTTGCAGCCGGCTCCCTACACCGACCCTGCGCCCAACACACGAACCTTCTTTTCTTCTTTATCACTCTCTCTCTTTCTCTTTCTCATCACTCTCTCTTTAGTCGTCTCTTTCTCATTCTCGGTATAAATAAACAAGGAAAGCGTGCCCTTTTTCATGACACCACTCTCCCTACCAAGTTCTTTTTTTTTCTCTTTCTCGTTGAGATATTCCTCTTTGACGTTTCCTCTGACATCAGAGAAAGACTACGACTACTACTACTACTACTACTTCTACTACTACTACTACTGATGATGATGATGATGATGATGATGATGATCGTTGTGTCGAGTAGCGAGAAAGAATGATGTTATACGAACGTGTAGATATGTATTTGTAGAAAGGGAAACAAACAGTGATGAGAATAACGCTAAGGTTAGAGTTTAAGCCATTAAATGAAAGATAGAGTCAGAAAGAGAGAGAGAGAGATAAAAAAGAAAATGTCATCGAAGTTATTTTCCGTAAGTTACAATTTGCAAAAAAAGAAAAGAAAAAGAATAAATAAAAAGAAGGGGTAAAAAGTTATTGCAAGATTTTTGTAATTTAAATTAAGCCACGTAAGGGCCTTCTGGTTCTATTACTTTCTTCGTGGTCAAGGACATGATATAGGAAAAACATGTTACGAAAGTGTATTAAAGAGGGGATGCGGGTGGGGTGCAGAAAGAGAGAAAGGGAGAAAGAGAGAGAGAGAGAGAAAGAACAAATAACGATGATGTGTTTTATAGTTAGTCCCTGGGAGATAAGATAATGACGAGTCATACAATAAAAAAATAAAAATTAGAGAAAAAATGTAAATTCAGGTATTAGCTAACCGTTATCGACCATTTTCAGGCACGCTAATATATACACACACACATTTATATATACATATACGCATCTAAAATATATTTTTTTGGGAATCATATGATAGAAATGTATTTTATATGTATATAAAAATATAAAAATAAAAAAGAATGTCACATTTTTTTATTAATTTTTTTATTCTAATGATTTGCAGAATACCTTCGTTTGAGGGATGAGAAGTTTCGTCGAAAACCTCCCTGCAGACGATGGTAGTAGCATTTTCTTGCTGAGAAGAGCTCATCCTGAACTACGATGACACCACCACTACCACCACCACTACACCACAATCACAACCACCACCACCAAACAAGTATTACCACCACCACTATCTCCTTTTGCTCCTTTTGCTCCTCTTCTTATTCTCTCTTTTTTTTTTTTATCTTCTTCTCCTTCTTCTTCTTCTTCCCGACGAGCTTGTTGTTGTTGTTGTTGTTGTTTATGATAACTTTTTGATAAATTCACTTTGTTCGGTAGACCGAATTTGTAATAGCACGATGTATCGTATCCTCGTCCGATCATTTTCCATATCGAGGAGGCTCTATTTAATACGAGGAAGGAGGACCTATTACTACCACCTATACGTATGGTTGTGCGCGCGCGCGCACGCATGCACCTTCCGCAAAGGAGATCGCGAAGAGCGCAACTACGACGACGACGACGACGACGACGATGAACAACCAACGTTTCTGTCGCGGTCAATGCGAACCAGCAGAACTTCCACGGAGTGTGAGAGGGATAGAGATAGAGATAGAGAGAGAGAAAAAGAGAGAAACAGTGAGAGTGTGAGTGTGTCAGGAGAATGAGAGAGAGAGAATGAACGTGACAAGGGGGTTACACTTGGGTCTTTAAACAGTCGGTTAATATCCTGTGAGAGTGACAAGGACAACAACAAATCGAACGCACTCTTCTGGATGATTTTAGAATTATCGACGCATTCGTAATTTGTCGACAAGGTAGATCTCTAGAAATTCTTCTTGACATCTGTCGAGATTTTATCCAATTAAGATAGCGTCGGTACAAAAGTCGTGATCTACCTTATCGACTGCATTGATTTCAAAAGTTGTGCAAAAAAATAGATTCGATTAGAAACGAGGGTTAATTTTGGTTGAGATTGATCAATGATACTTTTTAATTGAAATTATTATTTCGAATAGTTTTGATACTTTCGTTGTATTCTTTGTTTTTTTTTGGTATGACAATTTTATTAACGATAATTAGTAATTTTGATGGAAGGTAAGAAATATTTTAAAGAAATTTTATATGAGAGTTATCGATGTTGAAAAAAGGATGTAAAAGATAGTACTGGTTGCTTTCAGCGATAGGTAGAGTTACCGTATGTATTATTTTTAATATTTCAAAAGTAAATAAAATCGTATGGGAATATTTATATTATAATTATTCATATTCAAATTTATGCGCGTATATAAATCGTATAGTTGTGTTATTTATTTAAATACAATCATTTAATGTAAAATAAAATTGTGATGCAAAATCTCTACCGACAGTTTGTCATGTCGGAATATTTAATTATTCCATATTCGATAGATATCGAATTGGAATGATTTTTAATGAAAAAAAAAAAAAAGATTCGATAATGTTTCACGTTCGTTATTTAGAAAAAAAGAAATAAATAATTAAATGAAATCCCATTTACTCGCGATAAAGTTTCGATAATAAATGTATTTGTTCTCTTGTTATCTTTTTCTTCTTTATATATATATATATATATATTATTTTTTTTTTTTTCATATGACCGACGCACATCGAAACGTGTTATCATCCAAAGTGAATTTAATACGCTTTATAATACTCATCGATCGGTACTTTTAAAATGAGTTCGATGGCGTTTCCCAAATGCACATGCACACACACACACACACACACACACACACACACACACACACACACATTGGTATATTATTTTCTGTCTAACTTTTTTTTTTCATACACCTATCGTAAAACCCATACTGATCGACATTAATTTTTATCTTAACAGGAAGAATAATTAATGACGACACCGATAGAAATAAAGTTCGATTGGATCGAACTTTTACGTAACAATAATTATATATCTATATATATATATATATAAAATCGTGCAAAAGAATCGTTGAAAAATAGAGCAGGAAAATATTCCGAACCGATTTGATGAAAAAAAAAAAAAAAAAAAAAAAAATAAAGAATATAAACGTTTTAACGAAGAACTCAACTCGAATAAGAAAGACAAAAATTCATTGAACGTGTCGTTTGAAAACTTTCGAATTAGGTGTATACGTTAAAGAAATAAAAAAAAAGGAAAAAGAAACTTCGATCGTAATCCGTAACAAAGCAAGTGTCTGAATAATAATAATAATGGGGATATACTTAGATTAGAAAAACTGTAATTTTTTTTTTATATCCTGAGATTAAAAAAAAAAAAAAAGATAGGAAATCAAAAGAAAATCATGAAAATTTTAATATACGTATCTATTGAATAAAAACACCCACACACTCACATACACAAATACATAGTTATCCGTTTGTCACATAGTATATTCGGTATATAAGAACATTTTGAAATATTCAACGAGAAAGAAACGATAAAGATTTCGTCGCATGGATAAAAAATAAGAGGGTACCAATTTGTAAAAGAGAGAAATAACTTTCGGCTTCGAAACGACCATAAAAATAATGATCTTGCACGAATCGGTGGTGATCGATTGGGATATTTAAATTTTTGACGGTATATCTGAACGATGAAAAAAAAAGAGAAGAAAAAAAAGTCAGATAAAGAGAAAGAAATAAAAGAAAAAGAAAGAAATAAAGAATGAGAATTTTCTCTCACTATAGTATAACGTTAACGAGCATAGAATCAGAAATTCCTTTTCGCCGAACGTGAAAATTAAATGATAATGATATCCCGAGTAAGGTTGGTAGTATGTACTACGTGACACGATATAGGTCTAAAAAGAGAATGTGTTAGAAGGAAAGAGAAATAGAAAGAGAAATAGAAAGAAAAAGAGAAAATAAAATCCTATATTTTCTCTTTTACCTCACTTGCGAATTTCTTTCTCGAGTAAATCGTATTCCTCGTTAAACGCAAAAGAGAAAGAGAAAGAGAGAGAGAGAGAGAGAGAGAGAAAGAAAATGATCGATGCAATGGCGTATGCGATTTATATTCTCTTTCACAAATAGATATTTAGACTTATACTTTTCTAAGATGGACGACGGATAAAATTTATGTCAATTTTTATATCATATGTTTTTGTTTCTTTTTCCTTTTCTTTTTCATCCAAATAAAATGATTTATTGTTCTCATTTATGTCAACATAATTTATTCGTGTTTTTTTTTTAATCGATTATAATATGTTAAAGTGAGGTTATAAAACCTTGAAACACAAGGTGTTCGATGTTTAATCGTAATTCGTATCAAAATAATTATTAATCTCGAAAAAATTATTTAATCAATTATATAAGTTATAATTCATTCAAATAATATACAAATATTTTTATAACGATTTCTTAAATTTATATATATATATATTCGATTATTCGAAACGTTAACGATAGTTTACAATTACGTAACGCGTTAATAATTATTCGTATGAACAATTATTTCACCCAATTAAAAGAAATACAAATGTGTCCAAATTGGCCCAATAAAACAGACAAAAAGTATTCTATAACAATCCCCCCACCCTTTCATCTCTTCACGTGCAATTATGTAATACATTAAAAATTATTTCCATCAACAAAAAGGAAATAAAAATTTCCAACAGAGACATTTTACAATTGGTCCAATAAACAACAAAGATAGATATTTCATAACAATGCAATTATGTAATACATTAATAATTATTCGTAGGAAAAATTATTACAATTAACAAAAAGAAATAAAAATTTTCAGCACAGACATTTTACAATTGGTCCAATAAAAAAAAACCAAAATATTCTATAGAATGTTATAATAATTTCCTTCTTTATCCCTTCTCAAACTCCATATACCCTAATCCCGATATATAAAAAAAAAATCTATTCTAACATGTATATTCGAGACGATTAATTCGATCAAATTGACAAAGTATAACAAAGGATACTAAAAAAAAAAAAAAGAAAAAGAAAGAAATGAAATGTATTCGATATAACAAATGAAACGTTTTAAAAAGTTGTGATGTGAAAGAAACAGAAGCTGTTAGGTTACTGGTAGAGTAATAGTAGTAGTAGTAATAATAATAATAATAATAATGATGATAATAATAGTAATCGTAGTAGTAGTAGTAGTAGCTTTGCTAACTCACTCGTATCGTCAAATTCTATTGGTCGTTAGCCTCTCAAATTCACATCAGGGGATCCCCTAATCTAGCGTAACAAACGTAACGTCGTTAGGTTGTTAAGTAAATGTCACAGGGTGCGGCTAACATTGACTACAACGAAGACAAGGACAACGAAAAGGACGACTACCAAGGGCCGAACCACCAAGGTCCAACCCCCTAAAAACTCGAACGGAACGGAACGTGTACGACCCGTTCAAAATGGTGGCTCCCGAAACCTTTCGTATTCGACATCGAGAACAATAAAAGAGAGAAGAAATAATAGGGAGAAAGAAAAATACGTGAATTCCAATGTGCCCTTTTTTTTCTTCTTCTTTTCTTTCTTACTTTTCCTTATTTTTGTTCTTATTTTTATTATCGTCTATTTGGTCTAGAAACAAATGGGAAAACAAATTATGAATTATTATCGTAATTTTTCATCGAGGATTATTTTATATTGTGAATATTATTTTTTTGTCTTTGTCAAGAATAATAATTATATTTTATATTTTATATACTATTATTGTTGTTGTTGTTGTTTTTTCTTTTTTGGATTAATTCATATATTAATATCGAAGATATTCGAAAAGTACGTAATACGTTATCGGATTCTTTTGCCGTCGCTCGGAATCATTTATATTATTTCGAATGATTATTGATCTATTATATAAATTAAAAATTACATTTTTATTCTATGATACAATTTGTTCGTTCGTGAATATATACGTGTTAATAGCTTACAATGTTTGTTTGAAATTTTCTTACAAATTATCTTAGCAAAATTATTCATCCCTGTTTGTAAAATGACTTTTTAAATTATTAATAAAATAATTTAAGATCGTATGATTTAATTAATCCCTATATTAATAAACTAATCGTATTCCTACAATTTTTTTGAATTTCATATTCATTAAAAATTTAATTAAAAACGTCGAATAAGAATTTACGATTAAATTTATCAAATATTATATATCGAAGATGAGAACATTTGTATTTCGGAAAAAAGAAAAAAAGAAAAAAAGAAATTGAGCTTCATTATAAAAAATATGCGTTTAACTATCAAGAACTTCTATGAATTTTTTTTTGACAATTCGATCTTTAGATTTGTATCAATCATCGAGATGTTTATCGTAAAACCAAAAAAAAAAATAAATAAAACAACGTTAAACTAACTAGAAGATTATTCGAATGATTATTATTGGTTTCTTTCACACTCCCTGACTTTCTCGTAGGGTTTAACAGATGTCCGTTTCTCACGTTAAAGGACAATCGAGATTCCAATCTACGTTTTGCTCGTTTAGCTGGCGTGAGTTTGGTTGATTCCCTTTGGGATAACGATGGTTAACAACTGAAACGAAACGTTTAAGAATGACGCTTTAATATAGGGTGTTTTTACAAAAACAAAAATAAAAACAAACATATTATTTAATTCTACAATACGTTTAAATTCAAATTCGTTTGTATTATCTATCATTAAAACAAAAACATAAATTATGATCAAGTTTAAAAATTTCTATTCTATCATATGTTTTACGATTATTAATTAGGTGTATAGATCTAAAGATTTTTATGATGTTATTAATTGTAAGATTGTAATGAATTTATTTTTTATGATCATTTTCAATAATTTTAAATATGATTTAATATTGTTGTAATGGAGTTTTATGATCTATTAACGCGTTCAACGAATTTTATGAATTGTATGGTGATATTCGAAATGGTGGTTTATTATTCTCGAACATGGGAAAATTTTAAGATCGTTTAAAATGATTTTAAATGTGTTATAATATTTGTTACATCATATTATATGATTTAGATATGCGTT